CTGGGTCCTCCATGGCATGCGATATCTACCAACGATCGAGGGAGATCCAATTTTCGGTTGATCAATCGGAGAGTTGCGATTCCGCTTGAACCAGAGCAGGAAAATCGGAGTACTATTAAAAATTCGCGTATTATGGGGGCGTGGAAGTCGCACCGCGAATAGTCGGGGGCACTGTATTATTCAGGGAAGCTAGTCAGTTGAGTGGGGGGAAATATGGGAAAACATTTCATAGAACTCGGATACTCTTGCAGCCGAATAAGCCTGAAGGGGGGAGAAAATGGAGCGGGGCCGCCCATTAGGTTCGCCGGCCGAGTTTTCCGGATACTGCTCGCAGCTGGTTGGTCGGCGACGCACAAGGCGTTGATGAACAGGGAGAAAAGCACAGTTTTGGGTTATCTCAATGCCAATTTGCGCTGAAGGACATCATTACTGCTCCTCCGCACAACTTCGTCGCTCGGTTTCCCGGATGGGATCCGGCGAAGAGTTCACTCAGCTCCGAGCGGGCAACTTAGCCGGCTCAGCCGGTATTTTCCTCGTCTGTGGTAACGGTCAAGCCGAGCCTGGAGAACGAAGGGATCCCCTGTTTCCTTTTGTTCCCGAGTCGGTAGGCGAAAGAGCTGCCTAGTATCCTCTGAAACACCACGAACTCCGCTCGTGAGCAATCAGCGGCAGGAGAGTCTGTTTCCGGTAAATCGATGGATCTACCCACCCATCAATCCGTCCGTCCGTCTATCTCTCGGCGTAGAACTCCCCGCACCTCCCTTTGATCCCCTTTTCATCGAATGTCCTCATGGTGATAAAAACGTCATTTAGTCGCCTCTAAAGTTTTTCCTGGAGCTCATCGCATCAGCCCTTGCAGCGATTCCCTTCGTCGCCCCCTCTATCCCTGATTTCCTCGATCGTCGTTCCTTGAGCCGGCCTTCCCGGACGCTGATCGGTGTCCGTGAAACCAGCCTTCGGCGGTAGCGAGTAGACGGAGTACCGCCAAGGGGAGAAATCCAAAATTCTTCAGCACGCTCTCATTCCATCATCCGATGAGACGACAAAGCCGTCACGCGGAAAATCGAATAGTGAGAGGAGCGGGACTCGCCTATGCAGCCATTCATTCAGTTAAGCAGGCAGGCGGGCTGATTTATTTGCCTAGCGACGCCGGGAAGCTGCGGAACACACGCGGGCTTTCTTTCCAAGAGAAATTCAGAAGAAAAATGACAGAGAACTCCGCGCTCTTCATTCTCGGACCTATTAAAGGCCTCAACGTCTCTCGAGCTCCAGGGGTGCGTCTAGCTCAGAACGATGAACCTTGCTCCAGATTGGTCGCTTTTTCCCGCTCTGAGCACGCTATCCCTTCTTGACGTCTCATTTTACGACGTTGCCCGCCGCATCTATACCTTCGCCTTCTATCTCCGTCCCCTACATGCACATGAACGCGTCAAGGAGCGTTCTCTCGCTACCTCGGCGTATTTCTTGAGATTCCGCATCATTGCTGCTCGGGGAGTCTTTTGAATAGGATTCACGCCGAATTTCCATTGCGTCCACGCACGCCCGATCCCCTCGAGTCTCACAAACCCATCTGAGGGTCTTTACGCTTTCAATGGTGCATCCACTTACGTTGGTTTAATTCCGTGTTCCCGCATGTGCCTCTTTCCACGTGACGTCCGAAGCTCCCCTCCGGTCGGCTAGCATGGAGCGCCTCATTACGAGCGCTCGGAGCAATGCTCAAAAAAGTAACGTATGACCCAGGTGGCCAGGACCAAGAGCGGGCAATATTGTTCTCGAATTTCTCTCGGAAACCCGTTCGGAGATTGATATTCCGCGACGCCTGCGTCGAACAGTTCCGGTTTCGTCGCTTGTTTCTACTGGAAGAAACAGCAAATACGGGTCTCGTTTTCTTCGTGACTGCTATTTCGTTATCCGTTCCTTCTCCCCGCTCGGGACTTCTCAGAATCGGTCTCTTATCAATGTGCTGCCAGACTTGAAGACGGTCGCTAGTATCGGGGAGACCCGATGCGGAAAGGCAGCGGGTGGACTCTCTGATGCTTGACTCGCAAGCTATCTCTCTGTCAGTCTTTTCTCTAATGCGCATTGAGTCCATCAATATTTTCCCACTCGCTTTGTTTGTATTTTTTCTCCAGCTCAGCTGCCATGGCAGACGTCCGCCAATGCGAACGAAACGAGTCAAACATCACTCACTACAGCTCTGAGCTCGTCGCGGATTAAAACAAACTGGACGTCCGAGCGACTCGGGACAAGTCTTTAGTCCTTGTCCTCAAACTAGATTCGAGGCGGCCGATCGAGTCAAAAGCTAAGCGAGCTCCAAACGATCCTCGGAGGCGAGACCGCACAAAGAGACACTGACTCGCGTGTGAAGGAGACTGCCGGATGGAAAAAAAATGAAGGCAGTGGATCCGCGAGCGCTGCCGGAGTGAATCTCGATTTGGTTCAGCAGAAGCGGCAGACGTGGAAACAGCAGCGGTCGCCGTTACCTCTCTATTATGGCGTTAAATGGTGCTGCAAGCAAGCCGTTGATGATGTGGTAACGGCTTAGATTAAAAGTTCCTCCCCGCGGACGAATGGCTCTTATCCTTGCTCGCAGTCCTCCCCCTTCTCCCTCCGTGTCCATCCGCAACCGAATCCCCAGTGCCCGTATGCACTCCTGATAAACGTACTCCTCGATCCGAGTAGATGTGATACAATAAACGAGAAGTCCTCTCTTCCCGCACATTCCTCATTTACCTGTGGTTTGAGCACCGACTCATTCCTAAATCGCGAATTTCCTCAGAAACTGATTCCTCACTTCGCCCGAAGAATTTTCGGTCCCGCGTTTCTGAGTCTGTCAACCCATTCATTGTGTGGTGTGCCTATCTGTTCCATTAGACGAACTCGCATCAATCCGGGTGTCGATTCGGACGGGGGGGCGGAACGTCAGGTCAATTAAAAAACGCTATCCATCGCTTTTGGGGGGGACTTGGAGGGAGCTCGGGGCTGCTGCTTCCACCGAGCTTTTTGCACCGAGCCGGCTCCATTCGCCGCGTGCGTATCAATGGAGTCGCTGAGCGAACAGCATCAATGTTTTTTTTCGAGTCCGGATCCTTTCAATGCCGGAAACGTTTGCGAGCGGGAGTCGAAACTCCCTCCGTTGGGATTCAGCTCTGTCGGATGCCCCGTTCCCTCGGGGCCCCCCGTCGAGATATATGTACATATATGTCTCTTGAATTCTGAAGTTCTGGAAACATCTCCTCATTTTTTTCCAACGGTCACTCTGTGCTCCTCGCTCCATCCGGGGAAGTCGTACGAGACAATGGGGGGATTAGGCTCCGTGGGACCCGCGCCATAACGACTTGTTGTGCTCGCGTAGTTGTCGGCGATCTCGGGGGTGTATGTACTACGAATGAATGTATGGATGGAGACGTCTCGGGTGTCAGCGGTTTACAAAGTCTCTTCATCCATGCAGCAGTCATGCCGCCATCGCCGCTGCCATCGGCCATTTGTCATAGACGACGTTTTTGTGGACCCTGTTGGTCGGTCGCTCGCTCGGCCGACTCTCTCGTTCCTCTGCTCGTTCAGTCGGTCATTTTCCCGTCCCCCACGCAACGTTCCTTCCTCCGTTCGTTGCTTCGTTCGTTCGTCCGTCCGTCCGTCGGGTTCCTGTGTCGACATGGCGGAAAAGGAGAATGGCGTCTATTCCCAAAGCGCATGGACGGCTCTCCGGGCGAGTCATAACGGCATGGCAGCACCGGCGATTCCATCGAGATGTTGCTGTACTGGTCTCGGAAGAAGTTGCGAAGGAAAGCGGAGAGCTTATTTAGACAGATGCTAAATAAGTTGTTCTAACGATCGTATAACGATGATTACTCTCGGCATAGCCTAAAACAAGTGAATGCTGTTCGCCGTAATTAGGCCGAAACATTAATTTTCTGCTGGTGCTGCCGCTCTAGTCGCAGCTCCTGGTGCAGCTGCCGTTCGTGCTTACGCTCGACACGACCGCATTGACGAATGCTCCCGCTCGTTCTGCAGCATCGGCGAATAAGTCCGGACGAGCTCGGGCTCTGACGACCGTCGGAGCGATGAAGAAGAAATGAAGGTCCCCGGGGACGGGGGCACTGAGAAGCTGTCGCGGATGATATAGTGGGGCATAATAACAGAACGAAATTCGTCCACAATCTATGGGTGGCCTGGTAAATATCGATTCGGATTGTTCGCATATTGTTGTCGGCAAGCTTTGCCCTTGGACTCGAATCGATTCGTCCGATTCCCACAGTCCGAGCAGGATGATGATCTCCGACGCTCAGGAGATCGAGCCGTCGGCTGGCTCTCGCTGGACTTGGAGCTGTGGCGGTTGCTCCTTCCGATGCACTTGCAGAACGCGAGACTTCCGAGACTCATGACGCGGGAGCGCCGTGATGAGTATTGAAAAGTTGCTGCGTCAACAAGCTCGTTCGCGTGCGCCTACGAACGGAACCGGAATGCCTCCGTCGGTAGCGATAGTGGCTCAATCGACACTGGAGCGTGGCGTGTCGAGCCGGGCCGGCAGCCAGTCAGAGAATCATCGGTTGGATATCTCCGTCCGACTGAAAGTAGGACGTCAACTTATCCGATGTACGGGGTCGCAACTCGAAGAAGACCGACGGCCAGGAAGCCGATATGAAAAGGATTGCCATCCTTTGTTCCAAGCGCGAAACTTTGATCGGAAAGCTAAGGACCGCTGCGACTGGACTTCTCCTTTTAACGTCGTTGCTCTTTTGTGAGACTGTCGAACGAGTTACCCCTTATATCCCGTACAAGGAGGAGCCGCGTCTCGGTCGCTCATTGTTGCGATCTATGGGGTCCGGCATTCTCCTGCCGCTCGACGTTTTTCCGCACCTCCTTTGTCGCCGCATCACTGCTCGCAGCGGAGTCATCTTCCTAGCGCTCGGAACTTTGGGGGAGGAGAGGAGGCTTCTCTTTCCGGCTCCTTGTTTTCCCGACGCGACGACTAACGCATTCCCGGTCTCTTCTTCCAGGAACCATCCGGAGTAGATCCGTCCTCGACTGCGAGAACAAACCCTACTATTGGCTCGTCGTGTCCGCCACGGACCGCGCGGCGGTGCCGCTCAGCTCGCGCCTGGACGTTTACGTGAAGGTCAACGACGTCAACGACAACGCACCGTTGAGCAAACTACCGTATTACAAAGGCACTGTTCTCGAAGACTCAGCAGCGAACGTCTCCGTTCTCGGGCTCGAGGCATTCGACAACGATCACACTGCCAACATGGACAACATAACGTTTAGAATTACGGCTGGCGACCCCCAAGGCCATTTCCACATCGATACGTACTCGGGCCGCATCACGACCACGGACCGAAGACTAGACCGTGAGATCCAGGACAAGTTCCTGCTCGACGTGACCATCACCGACGACGGCACGCCTCCACTGTCTTCCGTGACGCAGGTGCTCATTCACGTGGGCGACATAAACGACCACGATCCGAAATTCACTCAAGTGCAATACCGTTTCAAAATCCTCGAGCAAGAGGAGCTCAAGGAGCAGGTCGACTTGGCGCAAGTGATCGCCACCGACGACGATACCGGTGCCAACTCGGAGCTCGCCTATTCCATAACAAAAGGGGCCACGTTTCGTTTCTCGATCGATCAACAAACCGGAATGATCCGTTCCCGATCCGCTTTGCTCAAAGACGAAATCCACGAACTGCACGTCAAGGTCAGCGACCTCGGAGAAGTTCCAAGACACTCCACTTGCGTCGTGATGCTGCACATCGCATCGAAGCCGTCTTCGTCGGAGAACCGTCCGCCGAAAATCAAATCTGTCGACGTAAGCGAGGTGTTTGAGGTCGACAAAGTAGGACACGTAGTGGCCATGATCTCGGCGATCGACCTCGATCTCCACAGCATCTTCTTCCGAATCGTTTCGGGCAACGAGAAGAAGCTCTTCGCGTTGAAAAAACCCGACGAGGGTGCTGTGATAGTCGCTAGACGGATCGTGCAGTCGGACGTGGGAGCGTATACGTTAGGCGTAGAATTAAGCGACGGCCTCGCCAAGACCTATACCGAGATCAACATAACCGTCATCGACGACAACAATCAATACCCTGAGTTCATTGAGGAGACCTACAACGTCGAAGTTTCGGAACTCGTCTCCCCCGGTACGGAGATCCTAAAAATCAAAGCCGTGGACAAAGATCTCAACGATCAGCTCTTCTACGCCATTCACAACGCTGCGGCGACCAACAGTGTGCAGAAGTTCCATTTGGCGGCGTCGACCGGCGTTCTACAGGTTGCGCAGCCTCTCGATCACGAGGAAACCCGCGAGCACATCATCACCGCTCTAGCTAAGGATTCAGGTAAGGCAGACCGAGGGCTTCGATCGGAACCTCCTCCTCCCGTTCCCCCTTCCGCTCCCATCCCGAAATCCTGGGAAGGAGAATGGTACTTATTCCCTCGGGATGGTCCACGAGGAAACTTCAAATATTCTGACGCTCGTTACAGGTTGGCCTGGGAAACGCGCTTATGTTCGGATCCACATCCACGTGGCGGACCATAATGACCACGCGCCTGAATTTCTACAGAGCTCTTTCGAGGGCAAAGTGTTCGAGAGTGCAGCTTTAGGAACCTCGGTCGTTCAAACGACCGCGGTCGACAAAGACCGCGGAGACAACGCCCGCATTTCGTACAGCATCGTGTCCGGTGAGTCTAGCAAGTAATTGAAAGCAAACGACGGTATCCCACGCTTTGCCGTCCGCCCCGGTACGTGAGGCCGACCAGGGAGCGTGCTCCCGGGCATGGAAGACAGAAATAAGAGGCTTCAAAGAGGAAAAGCCAATCGAATTTCCGAGGTCCATCGAGAAGTTCCGGTGTTCCCCGTTCTACCCATCGGTGCAGCAATTTTCGATGAAATCCGTATCGGAGCTATTGGCTCCGTCACTCAAACGCCGAGAGAGGGGCGTACTTTGGCCGTGAGCGGTCTCGTCTTCGCCGTTACAGTGATTGTGTCAGATTGCATTACGTGACGGAGGAGCAAGAGAGATAGTGAGGGACACGGGAGGAGGATGAGCGCCGCCGGTCGAATTCCCGACTAATTGCGCAAAGACTCCTTGATAAATATGGTTTGGCGGAACCGGGACGAACGCTCTCTAAAATCCTCGCCCGCCTTTGAAGCTCGGCTTCTGCTCCATCGAGTTCACGACGTGAAACCTTCTCCCCCCACATTCCGTCCAGTAGAAGCTCCGGATCAATTATGCTACACTGGGAGTACAGCGAGAGAGGGGGAGAGCGACCGAGTTAGCCGAAAAAAATGGCGGCACTCCTTGAGACGAAACTACAGCGCCAGCGTAGCCACTTGGCTCAATATCTTCGCTTGATCCCCCGTTTTCCCCATGGTCCCCGCTCTGCTCTCGTCGGCTTCCGTCCGTCGCGCCGCTGACCCTTTGGCCGTCAATCGTACCTTTCGGGGACATGCAGGTGCTCGGCAGCGATGGATCCGACTCGAGCCGACTCCAAACATATGGCGCAGAGATCATCTAGACTTCCGAATCCATGACCCCCCCTCCCCCCGGAGATGTCCCCGAGAGGTACGCTTCCCCGCGAACCCAAGCAATTATACTCATCCCCAAATACGCGTCTTATTCTCATTGATCTCGGGTCCGTCAAGGAGGTGCCGCACCTTCGAGTCGACGCGTATCGTTCCGACGCACTGCCGTGCCTTCCTACACGACGGTGTTCGGAAGAATCGGAGATTATTCGAGCTTGTATACGCTTGTGATACGCCGGGCTCTTAAGCCGAACGCATGCGGTCGCTCTCGTTCGGGAGCGATGGGCAAGCACACAAGCGATCCGAGCAGGCTCTCACAAGTTGATTTCATGTGGCTGAGTTCGTGTTCTATCTGCTCGCAGGAAATGTCGGGAGCAGTTTCGCCATCCAACCCCAACTCGGAACGATTAGCGTTGCGAAATCTCTGAGCCAACAACTGCTTCCTGAATACTATCTGGTGGTAAGAGCCGCTGACCACGGATCCCCATCGCTGAACTCCACCGTGACCGTCCATATAAAAGGTAAGTTTGCCGTGGGCTCGTCGCGGTCTAACTTACTGAGGCGGCCACCGCTTCCTATTTTATTATTCCTTATTGCTCAGGATGCTTGCTACCTTCCCGGAGCTAGCGTTCTCATAGTTGCGGGCTCCCACTGAGCTCCAAACAACATGGACTCGAATCAATGCGTGTCCGCGCTCCTTTCCAGTCACCATGGCGACTAATGCACCTCCGAAATTCGAAGCTGATACCAAAGTCGTGGAAGTCGAAGAAAACAAACCGATCGGAACACCCGTGGTCGTGACCCAAGCCCAGAGTGGATCTGCACTCTACTATGATATATCTCTCGGAAACGATGAGGGATGCTTCTCAATCGACCAAAATTCTGGCGTACGTATCCGAGCTCTATGCTGACGCCGTACTCGTTTTGAGCAAAGCGGCCCATTTCCTTCATGAGAAGGAGTCTCTCCCGTCCCTTTTGGCTAAATTCTTCCTTTCCGACCCCTCGCAGATCGTGACGACGGCATGCGTCCTGGATTATGAGCAGAAACAACAGTACCTCATTATCGTTCGGGCGACCAATCTCGTCAACTCCTGGACCGAAATGGCACTCACAATTCACGTGGTCGACGTCAACGACAACGCTCCTGTCCTCGAACCGAAAGTATATTTTGGAACCATAAGCGAAGCCGCCGAACCCTCGAGCGTCGTCATGACCAACGAGTCGCTGCCTCTGGTGGTCACGGCGACAGACGCCGACCGTGACATCAACGCACACCTGTCGTTCGCAATCGTAGACACCTGGGCTAGGCGATACTTCAGGATCGACTCCTCGACCGGATCGATCTCAGCTGCGCACCGCCTCGACCGTGAGCTCAGGAGTTCCTACACGTTCAGCGTCGAAGTCTGCGACAACGGAAGACCAACGGTTTTGTGTAGTCGTGGACCAGCGAAAGTTTCCGTGGAGATCCTCGACGTGAACGACTCGCCACCGATCTTCGAGAAAGACTTGTACAACGTGACGCTTGTGTTGCCCACTCACCGCGGCGTCACGGTAGCCGAACTCGTGGCCCACGACGCCGACATAGATCCAGTCATCAAGTACTCGATCATCGGCGGAAACATCGAAGAGCACTTCCAGGTTGATTCCGTGACCGGACTGGTCAAGGTCAATCAACCCGACAGTAAGTTGACAGGCCGTGAGAGAAGTATCGAGCGGAATCATTCCCCCTCTCCCCTTCTTCCTGCGTGAATCGCACATTCGATGAGGGGAAATTCAAATTTCCCCCTCAGACTCTTCACCGGACTCCTCGAATTTCCCTAATTCCCCCCATTTTCGTTTTGCAGACATGCTCGATTACTATCGGTTGGTTGTTTCCGCGCACGACGGCCTCCACGAGCGTACAGCGTCGCTGCACATCAGCGTTGTGAAGAGTCCCCTTCACGGCAATCCCTCGTTCCGATTCTCGTATCCACTCTACGAGAGCCGCGTGGTCGAGAATTCGGACGCGACGAAAGCACCGCTGCTCGTCCTCAGCACGGTTGGAACTCGTCTCCAAGAACCGATCCATTTCAAGCTGTTGAACGAAGAGGCCAAATTCATCGTCGGCGAAACATCGGGCGCGCTCACGGTTCGGCCCGGCACGGTCTTCGACCGGGAACAACAAGCCGACTACAGGCTTGTGGTCAATGCCGTCGCTCTCGCCACCGAAAGAGTTGCGAGCACCTTGATTGATGTCACAATTGAAGACGTGAACGACAATGCGCCAACATTTGTCGATACACCCTACCATTGTGTTGTGCCGATCGAGTCCAACAAAGGCGAACAGGTTCAGAAGGTTCGCGCGGAAGACCCCGACGACGGAGCGAACGGACGAGTGCTCTACTACCTCCGCGATTTGCACAAAGGAGTGTTCGACATCGACTCGAAGAGTGGGAACATCACCCTCCGGAAACGTCTTCCTTCTCATATGACGCAGTACACGATCACGGTCGTTGCCAAGGACGAGGGCAACCCACCAATGTATTCTGAGGTGCAGGTGCCGGTCAAAGTGGTTACGCGGACGATGCCCTCGTTCCAGAAGCAATTCTATAGCGCTCATGTGAAGGAGAACCATCTGCCAACGGAGCCGGTGCTCACGCTCATCGCCCAGAGTCCAGGTGGTAAACCTCTCATCTATGACATCACTGAGGGCCACCACAAAGAGGATTTCAGACTAGACTACCAAGCCGGTAAGTCCTGGCGGATATCTGTCGATGAGTTTCGCCTCTATCACCTGCCGATCGCACCCAGTTGTGTTCGGTATTCCGTGCTTGATTGTTTTTGTGAAGTTTCGTGTTTTCCCTCCATCGTCGTGCTGGTCGTCCCGTTTGATCGATAGTGAATAATCATCGTCGTATCATGATTTCACTCATCTACCCAATCAGTGGATTGATCTCGAGGTTGGAGGAATATGACGTTCGGATGGAGGGAATGTTTTGCGTTGCATGCTAAGTTTTTTCTTTTTTTGTTTTCCGTGTGTTACAGGTCCGAGCACGGCCAACGCGCCATGTGAGTACGGTTTCTCGTTTGGTTCGAATTTCTACTGCAAGCTTGCGTTCCGTTGAACAATTTAATCGTCTTTGGGGTTGTCGTCGGGAGAAAAATAAAAGACAGCGATTCCGGAGCTTTCTGCTCGCGGGGTGAACGCTTGCTGATAATTTTTCGTTACCCATAGGTGTCATGTACGTCAATGAAGAGCTGGATTTCGACAAGACGGCGAAATACGACCTCACGGTGCGGGCGACCGACTCATTGAGCGGGGCACACTCCGATGTTTCTGTGACGATCTACGTGGAGGACGTCAACAACCATCCGCCACTGTTCGAGCAGATCATGTACAACGTTTCCGTTTCTGAAGTCTCGCCGCCGGGTTCGAGCATCCTTACGGTCCGTGCGCACGACAAGGATTCAAACAGCGTCATCAGCTACTCCGTCGAGGATTCTGATCGCTTCATCATCGATTCCAAGACGGGTGTCATCAGCCTGAGACGTTCATTAGATTACGAGAGGCATTCCAGGTCAGTCTTCTCCCTTGGATACCTTCTACCTGTTTTTTCGGGTTTCAGGACGACCCTTCTGCACATTTGTCGAAAAGTGAACCCACCAGTCTATTTCTTGAGCGTCGGCCGTGGCGGGATTTCCGCTGCAATTTTCGAGACGGAAAACGTTTCCCTGACAGAATTCTCCCTTGTCCTTCCGCAGAATCACACTGACGGTGATGGCAACCGATTCCGGACCCCCACAGCCGCTGTCGTCTACGGCCTTGGTCTTCATCCAAGTGACCGACATCAACGATAGTCCTCCAGTTTTCGACCGCCCCGTTGTAGATTGCTCCATAAGCCAACTGGCCCGAAGAGGGCAATTCGTCGCCCACCTCGGAGCCAGTGATCCAGATTTTTCCCCGAGCGTTCTGAGCGTTCACCAAACGTTGGCCCGCTTCCCAGATCAGTTCAATCACAACACCCCCACTCTCGCTTATCAGATAATTTCCGGCAGCCAAGCCTTCACTGTCGACCGTTACACCGGAATCGTCTCTGTGAGCAACTTACACTTCTTCCGCGAACTCGTCAAGTCCGACCAGGACGTCCACGCGCTGAACGTGTCCGTCACCGACGGAGTGTTCGTCGCATTCTGCAAACTGAAGGTCCACATCGTGCCCGCGAACAGCCACTCGCCCAAGTTTACGCATTTTGAATACGAGGCCATCGTTCCCGAGAACTCATCAGCCAGTACGTACATCATCACCGTGTCGGCTGCCGACCAGGATCGGGGCCAGTACGGTCGAGTGAAGTACTCTATCCAGTCGGAGGAAATGACTCATTATTTCACCCTGGATCCGGACACTGGCGAACTCCGCACAAAAAGAACTCTCGATCGGGAAAAACGCTCCCTGTACAAAATCGCCATCGTCGCCGAGGACGGCGGCGCCAGAATCGGGCACAGCGTCGTCCGCGTCACCGTCACCGATGAAAACGACAATCCACCGCAGTTCCTCTTGCCGGAATACAGATGCAACGTGAAGAACTTCACGACAGGTCAAGCCATTTTGAAGGTCACCGCAACCGATCAGGATCTCCAGCCAAGGGGTTTGAAATACTCGTTCCGAGACGGCGATCCGCAGAACATCACCGACAGCTTCGGTATCGTCGAAGACAATGGCGAGATATTCCTCAAGAAACCGCTGACAGAAGGCGCTCGCTACCAGTTTTTCGTCAAGGCATCCGACGGGGTTTTCGAGACGGTGGCACCAGTAGTAGTGGTAGCCCTGCATCCGAACCAGAAGGAACCCCACGACTCGAACCGCATCCGAGACCTCTATGTCAAGGAGAACGCTAAAATCCCAACTGTGATCACGACGTTGAACGATCAACCGTCGGGTGACGTCAGGTACGAACTCTTGTCGTCCGAGAACGAGATTTCCCTCTTCACCGTAGACCGGGACACCGGGAGGGTCACCGCCATCAGGTCGTTGGACCGGGAGGAGTGCTCCAAGTACCACATCGGCATCAAAGCCGAGTCTCGTTCCAGTGGATTAATCTCCCAGATCCAGATTAACGTGATCGTCACTGACGAGAACGATAATAAGCCCGAGTTCGAGTCGGGCGCGGCAGGATATGTCGTGCGCCTGGCCGAAAACATTCCGGTCGGGAGCAAGATCTTGCGACTGGTGGCCAATGACGTCGACATCGATCTGAACGGAGTTGTGACCTACGATTTCTTCGAGCGCAACGACCCGGCTGCCGATATCTTCCAGATAGATTCGCAAACGGGTTGGATCACGAACCTAATCGCCCTCGATCGGGAATCCGTTCCGTCGTACAACCTCTCGGTGGTCGCCCGGGATAACGGCTCTCCTCTGAAACAGTATTCGACGAGCTCGGTGTTCATCAATGTGGTCGACTACAACGACAACCCTCCGACGTTCTCGCGAGATCTATACGACGTTGAGGTTGACGAAGACGCACCCGTGAACACCGAGATCTTCACGCTCGAAATTCAAGATCCCGACGACCCCAAAAGCGTGAGCGTTTTTTCTTCTTTTCCGTGCATGGACCCGAGGCTGGGCGGCAGATTTTCCCTATACACTCCTTTATACTATAATTTTTCTTATTTATTTGCAGCAAACCATGTACTTCTATCTAACGTCCGGCGACGACCGGAATCACTTCGGACTGTCGGACACGGGCGTTTTATTTGTCCGGCAGCCCCTGGACCGTGAAAGCCAGGAACATTACATCCTAGAAATCGCTGCCAGCGACGGTCTCCATGTCGCGAATACGAAAGTCAGCATCCGACTGCGAGACGCCAACGATAATGGTCCCGTCTGTATACAATCGAAATATATTGAACAAGTCAAAGAAGACGTGTCCCCCGGAAGTTACATCCTAACTGTGGCGGCGAAAGATGCCGACATCGGGATCAATGCCGAGATGCGTTTCTCGCTCCGAGGCAAGGGACACGAACAGTTTATTATCAACTCGACGACGGGTAAGATATACACATACGCTCATCGGGTTCCGGCGCGATCGATCTTTGTTCTGTGTTCTTTATCCGAGGAAATAACATTGATCAGACGATTCGGAGCGAGAAAAATATTTCCAAATGAATTATTATTAATATGTCACGGAATGAAGGCAAAGCGCTAGGTTTCGTTCTGCGGTATCGTGGAGCTATGGCGCCGTTATCTCAACGAAGGCGAAATTTTTCTCTCCACAGGAGAGCTCCGGGTCAGCAAGGCACTCGATAGAGAAACGCAGTCTTCTTATCTACTGACTGCCCACGTACAGGACAGTCAGCACATGGAATGGTCTTGCACGTCGAGTATTCGCATCATGGTCAGCGACATCAACGACTGCGCGCCACAGTTTCTCAAGGACAACTATACTGTGGCGATTCAAGAGGACGCCGAGATAGGCACCGTGTTGATGAAGATCTACGCCACCGATCGAGACGTCGGCATCAACCGCAAGGTGTCCTATAGTCTGATGGACAGCGCCGGGGGCTACTTCGAAATCCAGTCCAATACCGGTATAATACAATTAATGAAGACGCTCGATCGGGAATCGGTCGACTCGTACCGGCTCGCCGTCGAAGCGATCGATCACGGCCAACCGAGGTTGTCCTCGGCAGTTTCGGTGAATGTCGTTGTCCTCGATGTGAACGACAACCCGCCCGAATTCACGAAGAAAATGTACTTCGCAAACATCAGCGAGATGGCACCGCACGGCACGCACGTGGCGCAGGTCAAAGCGTTCAGTCGAGATATCGGCATCAACGCGGAGATCAGCTACAAGCTCGAGAATGCGGACAACTTCGATATCGACCCGGAGTCCGGAATCGTTTCCGTCATGCGTTCTCTCGACTACGAAACGCAGGCCCAATACATGCTGTCGGTGGTGGCGCAAGACGGGGGAACGCCGGCGCTCAGTTCCACCACCCTGCTGAACGTGACCGTGTTGGATTTCAACGACAACAGGCCAACGTTCGACAAGGGCCGCTACAACTCGGTCATCCGTGAAGACACCAAAGTCGGGGAACGCATTTTGCAAATCCAGGCAACCGACGCCGATAGCGGCGTGAACGGGGAACTGTCGTACGCTGTTGTAAACGCAAGCGACTATCCAGAGTTCGCCATAGATCCGCAGTCGGGAGTTGTGGTTCTGCGCAAGAGTCTCGACAGAGAACTCCAGTCCGACTACTACTTCCTGGTGGTGGCCCATGATGGAGGTGAACCCGAACTGAACGAGACCGTTGAGGTTTCCATCACGCTTTCGGATATAAACGACAACGCCCCTCAGTTTGTGAAGGGAGGCAACTATTCGGCCATCGTCCAAGAAGGCAAACGCGATCAGAAAGTCATCGAAATCCAGGTGACGGACAGAGATACGCCCGCCAATGCCGGCCCCTTCACGCTAACGATCCTCAATGGAAACTTCAACTCGGACTTCGTTGTTCGGGGAATGTCCATCTTCACGCACGGGTCGCTCAACACCGAACGTCGCGCCGAATACAACCTCCAGATCCAAGTGAGCGATGCGGGAACGCCTTCGCTCAGCTCGAAAACGAATCTCCACATCAAGGTCATCGAAGAGAGCAAATACCCTCCGGACGTCGACAGTTTGCACATTTATATCACGTCGTATCTCGACGATTTCCCCGGTGGTCTCATCGGCAAAATCCACGCGAGCGATCTCGATCCGTACGACAAACTTAGATTCGAGCTGTCCGACAAAGAGAACGCCTTGTTCACCGTCGACCGAGAGGAGGGGATAATCTCTGCCCAGAATGGTCTGGACGTGGGTTCGTACGTTGTGAACGTCAGCGTGAGCGACGCGAAATTCACCACCGAGACCCAGGTGGTCGTCGACGTGACGCTGATTACCGAGGACGCGCTCAACAACGCCGTCATTCTGACGTTGGCCGACGTCACACCGGAAGACTTCCTGCTGACCTATCAGAAGGGTTTCCAGAGCGGTTTGAAAATTCTCTTCGGACTGAAGAAACAGAACGTCCACATCATCAGCATACAGCCGAGCATCAACTTGAGCCCGTCGAACAATTCCATCGAGAAGAGATCGCTTTCGAAACGCTCCACCCGCCGCGACAATCTCGACATTTTGTTCGCCGTTCGGAAGAACCAACTCTACTACGACGCTGCGATCATATCCCAGAAACTCAGGGAGAACCAGTCTCTCATGGACAAGGAAATCGACAGGAAAATTCTCCACATCTCCCAGAATAGATGCAGAGACGGCATGTGTGTCAACGGAGTTTGCTCGGATACCGTCGAACTGGATCGGAGCGATCTGCAAGGCATCAATACCGATCGGATTAGCTTCGTTTCACCGAGGCACTACCCCATGCTCGAATGCATCTGTCAACCCGGCTTCGGAGGCCCGAAATGCAAGGATCCAATCAATGAATGCTCGAAAAACCCGTGCATTGCGCCAAAAAACTGTATACCGTCAACTCTGCAGACGACCGGCTACACCTGTCAATGCCCCGAGAACACGGGCGGCCCTCTCTGCAACGAGACATGCGCCGATTCGAATTCGGAGACGTGCTACATAGAACGGCATCCTCTGAACTTCGACGAGAGGTCCTACGCTCACTACGAACTCAATCACGGCATCGAGAAACGGCTGATGTTCAGCGGCCGAGTGAGAACATTCCAGCAGTCGGGCGTCATTCTGTACGCTGCAGGTCCCAGAGATTATGCGGTGCTCGAAGTGCACAACGGCAAGGTGCAGTTCCGTTTCGATTGCGGATCGGGCGAAGGTCTCGTCCGAGTCTCGCACAAGACCATCACCGACGGAAAATGGCATCACGTTATCTTGGAACGTCGCGGCAACTTCGCCCGCGTTTCTGTCGATCGCAAGTGGGAGGCGAGCGGGGTTTCTCCGGGCAGTCACGATATTCTCAATCTGGATGAGAAAAATTCGCTTTTTATCGGGGCGATCCTGGTGGGCTACTATCGGGACGAGATCCGGCGAGGCTTTTTCGGCTGCATGGACGACATAAAAGTCAATTCCGTGTGGCTGCCTCTGCACGTGACAGGGTCGTCGAATGTCGCCCAACTCAAACGATTCGTCAACGTTCAATTCAAATGTAAAGACCCTCTGCCGAACCCCGGAGCTTGCGGAGCCCAACCCTGCCACAATGGGGGAACTTGTCTCCTAGGTCTGAACATCAACAACTTCACTTGCGTCTGCAATGAGCCGCGTTTCAAAGGCAGTCATTGCGAGGTTGACACCGATCCGTGCGCATCGAATCCGTGTCTCTTCGGAACTCTCTGCACGATTGTACAAGATGTGAGTTCTCCGTTCCTGGGCATTCCGCATCAAATCGACTTCGATAGATAACCCCGTCCCCGACTTCCGCAGCGGAGCGAATCCGCCCAATTTGTGGTCCCTTATCCGAACCCTGTGGGTGGTGAAATTCCTCTAACTAGTCATCTTTTTCAGGGCAAGAACAATGATTTCCAATGTGAATGTCCACCGCAGCTTAGCGGAAAACGCTGCGAATACGGCCAGTACTGCAATCCGAATCCCTGCCAGAACAAAGGGGTTTGCGAGGAAGGAGAGACTGGTTTTACGTGCAGATGCCCCATCGGATATCGTGGGGAGCGTTGTCAATACGACATCGACGAATGCTTGCATCCGATCTGCGCTCGAGGAGCCACCTGCATAAACCTTCTGGGTAGGTCTGCCGTAGAAACCCGAGGACTCGGGTCGAAGCCGAAGCGTCCGCCACCGTCACCATAACAAATTCGGATGTACCTGCGTATACCGAAACTCATTCGTCCTGGGCACGGTGAACATGTGATAATAATAGCGCGCCTTCCTCTTTTCTGCAGGTGGTTTCGAATGCGTCTGTCCTCCGAACGTCACGGGACCCTTCTGCAGCGAGCACTTGCAGCCACCACTGATCATCTCGAGCAAACTCAACACCACAGTCGAAGAGCTGATCGGTATCGTGTCCGTTGTGTCGTTGGTGTTCCTGTTAGCGCTCTTGACCGTGTGTTTCTTCCGATACCAATTCAAGAAACATCGCCGCATGCACCTCCAGAGCCAGGTGATGCTACAAGGCGCGACTGGGGACTCCCTCGACTACTGCTCGAACAAGAAACAAAAGAAAAAGAAACATCAGCAAACTGGTAAGCGCAGAGCTCAAGGAGTTCCTATAGCTCGGTCGAATTGACTGCGATTCGGAGCCAAACCCTCAAGTTCCGACATTTCCCGGTTTTGCCTCACCAACGATTTTTTTCCCGCAGCTGAGCAGTGCCAGATGGCCGATCTACTTCTGGACATTGCTGGGAAGACCGGGAAACTCGATGGGGGATCCATGATGAACAATCTAGACAAGCAGCCCATGCTCAACGTCCAAACCACGCAACTCGGACCCGAATCAGGGATGACACTTCCCACGACCCCGCAGTCGATTTTGCGTCTTCCTCGGGGCGGAGATCCCTACATCAACAAAGATCAGATGTACGCCGAAGACAAAATCAAAAATTGTTCGATCGCAAGCGCTGCAAGCCAGCCTGGCCTTCGCTACGACGACCTGCAGGGCTACAGCTGGGATTACAGTGACCTGACTGCCGAACAGAGAGCGCTCACGTCGAATATCCCCGAGCATGTGCCCGCCATAAACGACGAGGTCAATAGTCTTCTGAGCTCTACAGAGTCCAACTCCCACTCGAACCTCACCGCCCTCGGCTTGTCCGCAATCCAAATCACACCCCCGCCTCCTACGGGTCTCGGCGACCTCAGCTTCACCACGTCGAGTCCAGTACAGCTGGGCTTCGAGGACCAGAGCGTGCTGTACAACCGCGGCCTGAACGACTATTTACCTCCCCACGCACTGTCGCGGGACACGTCCATCAACTCAGAATGCGGAGCAGACTTCGTTTCTTATGGTTTTCCGCAGGGCGGCGGAAAAGGCTTCGTTCTGAACACTCGGAATCCGCCGTCGAATGTCAGTGATGGCAGCTCGACGAGCGACGACAACACGGACAACACCGTGGTCCGAAGGGTGCATGTATGATTCGCAGCTGCTGATCAGCATCTCCAGAACAGCTGATCAGCGGGCGAGTTTTCTCAGAGGATGTGATTTCGAGAGAGTGAGAAAGGGAAAGAGAACTTGGAAAACCCGAACTTCTGGATGGAGGTCCGGAATCTCGGGATTCGAGGCTCGTAACGATCCGAGATGCTTCGATAGAGTTAGCAGTCGCCAACGTCAGAAAACTACACACCTGCAATGCAAGATACCAATATATTTCTGGGGACGCGGAAAAAACGGCGAGCAGCTCGGACACTCAGAACGCCCGCGTTGGAGCAATGGTCAACATGCAATCAGAATATGCACGCAGGCGTAAAACAAGAGAGAGAGCAACACAGAGCAAGCGAGCATGTCCCACAAACGCATCCAGGTCGAGAGCGAGGCTGCACTCTTAGTAGAACAACAACGTAGGAACTGCCCAACTCCGGGCAAATGAAATTTTCACTTGTACAGAATTTCTACTGCCTGTTGAACGATGTGACTCCAAATGAAACTCCGAATGGATGAGTGCGAACATGGCTGAAACAAAGAGGTGTTAGTAGGACTTTTTTGTACTGGAATGACCGATGACAAACTGGCACTCAAAGCTGACCATCGATCTATTTTATTTATTGTCGACATTTCATCGAAATCTCACCGCGAAAGCGTCGACGACTCGTCATCGCAGAACTACGGGGGTCTCAAAACAATCACAATCACTCTCAGAGACGTCGGGACCGGGCCAATAAGTTCCTCCCGGCTCGGGAGGTTGGTCACCGATCCCAACATGATCCACTTGGTACCATCGCCCCCCCCCCTCCCCCTTGAGCAGCTCTCTATCTCGATACTTTCGTAAGGGAACGCAATCGGGAAACAAAAAACAGTTTTCTTGAAGCCTCTACGGAAATTCATGGATTGCTATGAAATATGAAAATGAATGCGATGCCCAGTCGTCTGTCCACGCGCTTGTGTGGGACTAGACGGGACGAGACACAGTGTACAAAGCGCGAAAACTGTATATACTGAATGAATGTAAAAATCTCAAAGGAGTTCGTTCTGAGGGAGTCAGGCGACCTTTCGCTGTGGATGAATCAAGCAAAAGTCGATTGAGCAAGTGATTCACGAATGAGAGAATTCGTAATGCTCTACTCGCTGGACCTTCGTCACCGCAGAGACCTCAACAACAGCGAAGAGTATTTTCCACTTCTACGTATCGATAAGATTCTGGAGAAAAACGATTTCAGAGCGTGTTGTTCTTCCTTTGGACCTGTTGAGAACTGCAAGGTGTTAATCATGTTGTACTTTTTGCATAGGATTCTGTAAATCTTTTCGAGGGGGACTAAGGGAATCGTGTGAAGGAGAGGAAGGGTAATCAGGGGAAGAAGGAGGAATGAGACAGCACCACACGGACGGAAACATGACTGTAAATACGAGAGAATGAATAAAGTATTGACGTTTATTTAAATTTTGAAAAAGTGTTCGCATCGACATCCGACCACGGAAGGGGAATATCATGTTCCAATCAGGCGGAAGGATAACTACCATCCCTTCGGTGAGGCCGCATGCTTGTGGTACGAAACCGTTCTTGAGCTCGGAGGCTCCTTCACATGACGGACGCGCCCGGCATTAATCTATAATTAGGACTCTCCCTGACGGCGATAAGATCCGCCTGATAATGATTCGTTCACGCGTCAGGGAGATAGAATTCCTCGACAGCTCGAACGGCGAACCTCGGATATTCGACATCGTTTCTCAAAGTCTCCGGCCGGCCGATCTGGGGGAGCGGATTGAAGAACGGTCTCGATAGCGGCACAAAACCAGCGAGCAAAACGACATTACGCGTGCTCGTCACTGAAAAGCATTATTTACGCCTCCATCAAATAAGATGCAACAAGAGCGGCTGATCCAAGACCAACGAGTAAGCGACCCGGGGAGACAATCTCCGGCTCAAGTTCGGCTGCTTCACTGTTCGCATACCTGAAGCCGCGCATCAAAGATGAGTCGAACAATTTCCCAACATTTTTCGAAATGTCTCCATCTGGTCCGGGAGAAAAGATAGGAAGAATCTGGGATTCAGTGCCAGATCAACAGAAACTTCTCAGTATTGGTCATCAGCATTCTTCTCTAGTTCTGCCTTCGAGGGTCACTTTTCCCCAGCTGGGTAGGGGAAGGACGAAAGCTGGGCGGGTCCGGTTGAATGGAAGTCAACAGGGCGGCGACCATGTCCGCTTCGGAAGCTTCGCCTGCACACCGTGAGTTCCGAAGGTTTTTTTCCCTGATTGCGTCAGAATTCACTTTCATTTGAAGAGAACATTCACTACAATCAGTATTGCAAGGAGCCTCGATGCGTACACGCTTTTTCGGTCCGAACATAGAGACCTTATGGTGGAGGCTTCGACGGCGGGATCAAAGTTTCTGCTTCTCAGCTATGTCGATGCAGAACGAATCCTAGCAACCCATAAGGCAGGTATTCCGTTGGTAATGTCCGAAGATGATTCCGATTGTCGGGCCCGAGAGAAGCAGTGAAAATCTTATCGGGGCGAGTATCTTCCAACGAAGGCATAAACGTAGTAAACATCGAGAAGGCAGTGACAACGTGTTCTATTTATAGATTATGGCGATGGAAGCTGAGCGAGTCGAGTTGAGAAGAAGAATGTCGCTCATCCGAAAAATCTTGCAGCCCCATTCCGGTCATCACACGCAATTTGTAACGTGATAAAGATATATGCACTTTCGCAGAGCTCTGAAAACGCACAGAATAGCGTATATATAGACAGTCGCAAGCACTCATCATTTCTCGGACCAAGTCTCCGATTTTGGTCTAGAGAAGCAACGGGGACTGCGGCTTGTCCGGTCATTGTGGGTACAGTTCCCCCCCCCCACCCCCCCACCCCGTGTGAGATAAATTAATTCGAGTTTCTTGCGGGTGAAATCTCGTCACCCGATTGGACGATCGGACAGGTCCAGATGACTAGAATTCAACTAGCCGTCGAGGCGAAGCCTGTCATTTCTGATGAATGAAACCGCGAAACCGCCAGAATCGAATGGAACAAAAGCTGGGCACTGTCATCACGACACAGGACTGGACGACTTCGAACGAATCGGCGTGACCCACGAGTCAGATTATTGGTTTCAAAAAAATCAACGACATCGACGTCTCACTGGGATCGCGCGCAAAGTATTGCGCGATCAAAAGCGCTCGCTCTGAACTCGCTCCCGGCGTCACTATCATTGCTATTACAATTGCCACCCGAAAAGAAAACATCGTGCGCGATTACCAGTCGGATAACAGAGTTCTTACGTCGTTCAATAACAAACGTCTCGGACCCTTTGAACGTCTGCGAGAATTCGCTCCCCACGATGTTGTTCCGGTAAAAAAGTAAGATGGTCCTGTCCCACCGATGGACGGACCCCATACTGCACGCGAAGTGACTCGGGAAGAAACTGGTTCGTTCCCCTACGAAAGGGATTGGCTCGAGGGATGCCCCAATCCGAAAATCCAGAGAATCATCTCGGTGAGATCCTCCTGAAATCCGCGCATGAATTGAACCAGGTCAAGGGACGACAAGAAGCCGATCAAATTTTTCGCCGTTCTGACAGCTCCTCCTTGTAAAAGAGTGAATCCTTTGTCGCTAAAATCCGTGACAGAAGTTTCCACAGTATTCCACTCTTGTAGTTCGCGCTCCCTTGAGTCGGAATGGTACCCGGAACGTAATTTCTTTCCTCGAGTGGTGGACTGAGCTCTGACCCATTTGGAGACTCCGATCAACGCCACAGGAGAATGCCATTAGATTTGAGCCGATCCTCGGATATAATGCCTGGTGCTTCAAGCTCCCCGCAGTCGCACTGGTCGCTTTGAGCAGAGCCAATGAGCTCCGTTTCCTTCCGCGAGTAAGCCTTCCTACATCAAAATCCGCAATAATACTTCAGCTGTGCGCTTCACACTGCGCTTTTTCCGTGACAAAGTTTCGACATTCTCGATAAGGCACGATCTGGATCCATTCGCGAATGTCGTTGTCTATATGGTAGCGAAGACGCGCGTTGCCGCGGGAAATTCCGCCGTTCTCACTCACTCAGCTCAGACCCCCCAACCCACAAAACCTAAACAGAGTCGTCTAATGCCTACCGGTGGCGCCCACCGACAGACGGGGCGTCCGATGAATCAGCGATCACAGCTTTGCGAGTGCGAAGTATGCCTGTCTATGAGATGTTTTCGTTTCTGTTCGTCAAGCAAGCCCGGTCGATAAGGGAGGGTGGAAGAGTCGTAATCGTCCGAGAATTTCCGGTTCTGTCAGGACTCCGGAAAGTGTTCCGCTCGAGTCAACGTCAGAACGATCGTCAGGGCTTCTGGAAGAGGGGTTCGACGTAGGTGATCCTTGAAGCTCGGAGCTCCGATGCACTCCTGAAAATCTGCTCCCCGGACCAGTCCACGCAGCACACACATGCATCTTTGGTCGTTCCCGGAAAATAATTCAATCATATATGTATTACATCTCATTCCGCGAGCTCTCCGCGACTCGACCGTGAAGCCGATTTGCTGAGATCGGTCGATTGCCTCCGAGGGCAATGTCGAGAGAACCGACGAGTCATGGGACTCGCGACGGGACGGATGCAATCGTCCACGAGGAGAAAAAAAAGAGAAAATTCTTTTGGACACCTTGTGTTCAGATCCGGAATGACTCTTGACAGGGCTCACGTCTCATGACTTCATCAACGAATCGTGACAATACAAGCGGGGATAGAGCACAACCGTGAGCCTATATTCGTCTTGTTGATAGCCACTGAATTGGATGACATTAGTTGTTGTATTCGTGTCCCGATGATCGCCAGTCGCCAGTGATCTACGGGCAAAAATAAGTCTGAATTGTCTACAACGTTCTTGCATAAACGACGGATCCGACGAATTCCGACATCCACTTGATCCAATATTGATGGGAATTTCATCCTAATCTTCACAAGCTAGAGAACTCGGCCGTCTCCCGATGCGATCCCCTTATTCTTCACAA